TGGTTATCAAGCAAAATGACTCCCCAAATATGACAATAAATCACCGTGGGAATCAATCCGACGGGAGGCCACTGCTCCACGCTGATAATGCATCAATCAATATTTAATGTTTACACTTTAATTAATCCCCACACCAGAAGCCTGCGCTCAGTGACAAAAACAAAGAGACGAGAAATAAAACACCTTTCGTATCAAGGAGCGGCGAGAGCCCTGCCCATCTGGTGGCTTCGATGGGCCCTGTTGTGTGGATCACCTTGGGCCCCGGCGGCCTCCCAGTCACATCTGGGTACAGAGCGAGGGTGGGGGAGGGGCCCGGAGGTGTCAGCATCCGGCGGGGGAGACGGTGACATCCTAGGAACTGCTCTGCGGAGTATGGATCCCAGAGAAGGCAGAACAAGGCTGGAGTGAATATTGGATTCTGAATGAGGGTGACATCTTCTCCCCGGAAAAGACTGCTGCCTGCAGAGCCTGGTCTATAACTCTGGGCCATTTTTGTGCCCCCCTCCCTCCTTTGTTTTTGTTGTTGTTTATTAATTTATTTTTGTTACTCCTCACCTGAGGATATTTTTTCATTGTTTGTTGTTGTTGTTGTTTGCGGTGGGGGGTGAATATTGGATTCTGAATGAGGGTGACATCTTCTCCCCGGAAAAGACTGCTGCCTGCAGAGCCTGGTCTATAACTCTGGGCCATTTTTGTGCCCCCCTCCCTCCTTTGTTTTTGTTGTTGTTTATTAATTTATTTTTGTTACTCCTCACCTGAGCATATTTTTTCATTGTTTGTTGTTGTTGTTGTTTGTGGTGGCGGGGAGAATGGAAGAGAGAGAGAAAGACAGAGAGGAACATCAATGTGAGAGAAACACATCGATGGGCTGCCTCTTGCACATGCCCCGACCAGGTCCCGGGCCTGGGAGTAGCCTGTAACCGCGGTAGGTGCCCTGGGCCAGAATCGAACCCAGGACCCTTTGGTGCACAGGCCGATGCTCTATCCACTGAGCTAAACCAGCCAGGGCCCCCCTCTGTGTTGAAGAGTCCAAGTGTTGTCTTGGACACACGGGTCTCGGGCCTGGTCTCTAACATCCTCAGCCCATCAGCATGTTGTCCAGCCTCATCGATGGGCTGCCTCCTGCACATGCCCCGACCAGGTCCTGGGCCTGGGAGGAGCCTGCAGCCGTGGTAGGTGCCGTGGGCCAGAATAGAACCCAGGACCCTTTGGTGCACAGGCCAATGCTCTATCCACTCTAAACCGGCGCCAGGGCAGTTTGTGTTTTAAAAGTAAACTACAGTCATTATTATATTTCAACACTAAATATTTCATTATATATCCCTAAAAATCCCCCACACCCCCCACCAATTCCAGTCCGTGCACAGCTGCATGCGGAGCTACCTGAGCGGTGGTTGACTAGTTGGCTGCCTACTACATTTTGTAGACGTTTCAAATGAGCAGATATTTCGGGGGGGCGTTGCAGATTTCTTTTGATATTTTCAAGCCAGTGCCGTAGGTTTGGGGTCTCAAACATTTTGCAGGTCTTGCAAAGCTCCTAGGCTGTAAACACAGGGAAATAGGTTTCTAGGTGAGAAACGGGCTCTGTGGACAACTCTGGATTTTGACCCTCAAAAATTGCTAAGCTGCCCGGCCACCATGGCTCAGTGGTTGAGCCTCAACCTATGAACCAGGAGGTCAGGGTTCGATTCCCAGTCAGGGCACATGCCCTGGTTGCAGGCTCCATCCCCAGTGTGGGGCGTGCAGGAGGCAGCCGATCCATGATTCTCTCTCATCATTGATGTTTCTCTCTCTCTCTCCCTCTCCCTTCCTCTCTGAAATCAATAAAAAATATTTTTTAAAAAATTGCTAAGCTTTGCCTTTTTTGGAATATGGCAGTGAGGTAAGGATAATAGAAGGAAAAAGGCCGGGAGCCTTGGTTGGGGTGGCTCCAGAAGTGGGTGCTAAGATAAGAAGTTGAGAGGAAGTGGCTTATATTAGGAGGTGAGGCCGGAAGGGACAGGCGGCCCTCCAAAGGGGAGCTTGTCAGTGTGGGGACATGGGACTCAGAGCAGAAGACTGGATTCGGAGCGAAGTCTCCTGAAGGCGTGGAAGCCGTGTTTATCCACCAGCTCTCGCTCTGCTGTTAGTCGAGGGCTGCGATTTCGGGCTGAAATGCTGTAAAGGGGTCTATGAAGTTGAGGCCACTGTTTGATTTTATATGTTCGCTCTAGATGACCTGTCACTGACGTGCGTGGGGTATTCAAATCCCCTGCTATTATTGCATCATGAGGACTTCTCCCTTCATGTCGACTAGTAATTGCTTTATGCATTTAGGTGCTTGTATGCTGGGTGCATCGGTATTGGCCACGGTTATAGCCT